CTGAAACTGCCCCTAAATTAATTGTGATTAGCTTTTATGGGATTATTCATTAAGTAAATGCAGCTTTTGAATAATTAACCATATTCAGCCTTATATTGAATTAGAAAAAATCTGTAAATCGATTTTTGAAAATGCTATTCAAAATCCATATTATCAACGTACGTTTTTGAAAAAAAATTGTATTCTTGAATGCCCCTTAATGATATTAGAAATGTTGACAATTTTAGCTCGATGTTCAAGTTTCTATTATCCACAAGAAATGTACCTTGTATAATTCTCTCTCAGAGACTTTTTGCGGCGAAATATTTTCAGAACACGAGAATGCGTTTTTTTGTGGAAGCCATAATATTATTGACAAATAAAGATTGAACATTTATAGGAAGATTAGTACAATTTTTAGAGTAGGTGCACTAAAAATGAAATTAATATAAGAAATAAAAAAGAAAACAGTTGTTAAACATCCGAGAAATCATCTAAAATGTCTTATCTCAGCTGAAGACGCTCACCTTAAAACTATTTTTTTAACGAAATTTCATTCTTTTTCAATTATTTCCTTCCTTCCTAAAAAACTCTTTGACTATCGTGATAAATACAAACAAACATAATATTATCAGACTATGAAGGCTTTCACGGCCGGTCAGATTACATTTAGAAATGTTTTCCGGGCTTTGAAGCCGTGGTCTATCGGAATTTCTTCCTGGCGTTTCGTCCACAACTGCGGTGGACATTTTCAAAGGCGATGAGGCAGTGGGCGAAGTGATCTCCCGTGCTTTCCGACTAAGACTGATTCAACTGCTCTCTTCTCGCAACTCTTCTTTTGCGAATTTTTCACCAGTTAAAAAGTTGTGTTAACTTCGAAATAAATAATAATCCGATTCAACCAAGCTTCCAATAGCTTCGTACGTCTTGCTAGAGATGTGTGTGGTTTCGCATTGTCGTGGTCCAACACGGTTCCATTGCAATTTGATAATTCTGGACTTTTCTCTTTGACTGGTTTCTCCAATTCCACACGTTGTGGGCACTAATCATCAAAGTTGGTTCTTTGGTTCCTTGATGACCTAAATTGACAGCATGACCATGATCTTTTTCGATTAACGTTCCTGTAAACTATCCATTTCTCATGCCCAGTGATGACGAGCAATTTCAGAAGGTCGACCAGACCGTTGGCCATATTTCAGTGAAAAATCCGAAATTCCTTTAACCAATTCTGACACTTTTTGCGTTTTGTAAAATAATCCATACCATAAACTTCATATATCTCTTCGTAAACCGTAGCTGCTTACTTGCTTTTATGAAAATAAAAAAGTAAAATGTGTCGAAAATGCTTGTTTTTGCCCTCCGTGTTAAAACAGAGCGTAAACTTACAGTTGTAAAAAAATTCCACGGAATTTGTTTCAATTTGCTACTAAAGGTATCGACTACCAAATTTCAAAAGAAAAAATTCTAACATTGACAAAAAAATATCGAAAAGAACCTCTGGGGCAACCAGAAATCACCCTCTCGCCAACGCAATAGTTACCAAAAAATTACAAAAGTCTTTCTAATTAGGTACATAATTAATATAATGTACACACAAATATTGCCTCACAAGCGTGCAAATGTTTCGATAGACTACGGAAATACCAATTATAAAAACAATCTTAAATTCGCCGCTCACTATTATTTAAAACGTTTCAATTGGCAACAATTGTAAAGCTGTCACATTTGAAGAAGGGCCACCCGGGAATTGACCTTTTCAAAAATTAAAGTATCTCGGGTAATAAAAGAAATTGATTATCCCCAAACATCTGCAGGAGTGGTCGGGGTAACTACCCCTAACTAAAGCCCTCCGAAGATCCCTCGGGACAGACTTAACGCTCGATTAGGACTGGACCGGGATGTAATACACTCTTCGGCAATTTTCGAACATTTGCTGGGCAAATAAATTGAATTAGGTGGCAAACAGAATAAAGTGAGATGAAATTTGATATGCTCCAAATTGAGTAGGTTCAGGTTGTGCTTGTGAAATATGTCCAGTGTTGAACCGGCACAGATAAATCACTCTTCAAGATATCTATTTTCATTTAGGCAATAAACAAACACCTTGTATACCAGCAAAGACTTTTTGAGGCCCATAAGATCAAATGGTGGAAATCAACATTTCATTCGTCTGAAATAAAACTGCACAAAACAATGAATACGATTTCTCGGCGAAAAGTTATGCGCATATTTTAGCAGCCTTTCTTTAAATCCACATGACGAATCCATAATTCAGAATTATTTTGCATTCAGCGAGCGGCAAGTGTTTTATTGCTACTGTGAAGATAGGAAAATTTTATGCTTCGTCGACGTTTTTCCAGTTTATCTTGACACCGCATTTTATTACTTTCCAGGCAGTAATCTGCTGGATTCGAACAGGAAGCCTTTTTGTTGGAGAAAGCTGGAGCGCAATTTATTTCACGATGTATGAGTATGATGGAAATGAGCGGTTATAGTTCCAGTGTTAAATGTTGGTTGACTAAATTACTTTATTTTGCTCTACTGGCATTTCAGATGAAATTACAACTGGCAGATTGAAGAAGTCATTTTGAGTGAGTTCGGGGAATTTCATTGTTAAATATACCAGACACAAACAGATCAATGAAGAGGTGAAATGAACGAGATTAAATGGGAAACATGGATGCAGCAGTTTGAAAACATGTATAATATGGCAACAGATCAAGAACAGACATCCGACCAAATGACGATAACATTGGACCTGAAATAACAATGGAGGAAGTTCAAGTGACAACCCAGAAGTTGAAGAACCGACAAACTCTTGGCGTTGATAATATCAATAATACGGTGGAAAGGAACCCCAGAAAGAACTCTCCAAACGGTTCAAACGATAATTACATCGGGAACCATACCAAACGAATGGGAACATTAACCTTTTTTCACCAAAATCATCGTAAATAGAATCATAGAAAAAAAGTGCCAATATCCGAAAAACATCAAGGATTTAGATCCAATAGATCAACGGTGGAATCGTGGACTATACACAAACACTACAAATTGATGAACTCCAATGGAAAACCTTCTTTGAACAACTGTGCACAGATAAGGAAGAGGAAACCAGAAATGAGATTGAAGAAAAAGGCGAAGAAGCTGAAGAACCTACCGAAATAACCCAAAGAATGACGATGGAACAGACAGAGAAGATTGACAAGCCAAAGCCCTTGTCATTTCCAAAGGATCAATGAGATGTAAACTCGCCTTGGAACATAAAACAATAGAACAAGTCATGTCGTTCAAATACCTAAGCATATAAACTTCCTCGAGCTAAATATAACAAATGAAATAAGAGAACAGAAACATTAGAATAGCACAAACATGAGCAAAAAGTCAAAGATTAAAATATACAAAATCTGTGTTAGACTCATATTAAAGTACGCTACAAAAACAAGAGCTGACAATAAAAGAACAGGAAACACCCTACGAACAACAGAAATGAAAATACTCAGGAACATCTCAGGGTACACACTAAGACACAGAAAAAGAAACACAGACATAAGACACGAATGTGAAGTGGAAGACATCATGAGATCGGGACGAAAACGTAAGAAGGGACTGAAAGAGTCACGTGGACAGAATGACAGAGAGAAGACTCGGCGAGAATCGCTAGAGATGGAAGGCCATGAACAAGACACCCCCCGGAAGACCTCCAAAGAGATAGGTGGAGTCATGGACCTCAACATCTCAAGAGAATTAAGATGGAAAATACAGACCTACAGCCTACTATGAGAGCAAGAAGAAGATCAACGGTGGACGCAATGTTCATATTACGTTAAATCGTTTTGTTTGTTTTGTGGATTTACCCAAGGCATTCGACAGGGTCCGACTGGATGAGGCAAAAAAAATCGCGAAGACCGGTAGGAAGACCATTCAAGAGATTATATGAAAGATCGAGATCAACGTCACAGGAAGAGTCCCGAAGGAGTAAACGTAACGGACTAAGCAGAACTAGTTCCTATTATAAGAAGAAATATGCAACGTGTCTTAAACATGAGCGCTGAACTATAGATCCAATTTTTGCCCCAACTGAGGACATATGCCCTACAGAAGATAAGAACCTAAGAACCAAAACGCACCCAAATAGTGAGAATGAAAATAACTTAACAAAGACCAAGGAAGAAGCACTAAAACTTCTTAAATATACAAAACATTATGTAGATCTCCATTGGATTACGGACACATTGTGTCAGCAAATGCATCCCAGGACATAGTATGACCACATGCCACAGTTGTGCCGTTTAGTTAATACATACGTGTTTCCACTTGTTCAACGATTCGAATTCTTTAAGCCGAAAGTAATTCGGCAAACAAAATTCCGTCATTGATTTTCCGGATTCCCAAGAGATTTGCACTTGTGTCTAATTGAATTCTTGAAGCGGCAACCAGCTTATTGGGCAATTCCAATCGAAAATGACGACTACTAACTAATTCTATCTGGAACGGATTAGGGCATATGGGTAATTTTAAACCTGCATTTCCCTTTGCGTCTGGCCCGCTCTCTTGCTGGTAACTTTAAATTGGTATTTTCGGCATTAGCTTTCACTTATTGGTTGCGGCTGCTGATTGGAAAATCGAATTTGTCGACAAAGATAGCAAGCAACTTTAGTGATTCAATTAATATCTTCTTTAATCCGAGGAAAGAGAGTTTAGTTTCCCTAAAGCTAGAGGTTGAACAAAAGTTAATAGTTTTAAGAAACAATCAAACCGACCATATAGATTTGTTTGTGGGCTTGGATCTTTATTCACTAAACACAAAAAAACTCTTTTGAGTTATGTTGGAAAGATATGTTACACATCGTATAAAAAAGCGCAATTTAAATGGAAATAACAGTTTCAAATGCAATGAACTGACCATTGATCTTATCGCAGTCTCGATAATTAGAATAGATAGTTTGAATCTAAGCCTCTGATATTTTGATTTAATTGCGACTAAATTTGATTTCCCTAAAGAAAGTAATACTTTTCAGATATAGATGTTCTCACTGAGCAGGCGTCTGGAAATATGGAAATTCGTAATTGGAGTGGAAGAACACTTCTACGGAAGAACACCCTGAGAGTGGTGGATAACGAAGATCCGGAAAGTAGGAAAGTGACAATGCCAACTCAACTGGTAAGAACGATGAGACGAGAGAAAAATTTCACTGCGTACATAAAATTCAAAATTCGTCTACATGATATTAACAGTTCATAAAACAGAAATAAGAAACATAAAAAGAGTTCAGAGAAGTGTAGAATGGGCGTTCGAAAGCATCTACACTGTCAGTGATATTTTAGTATTTTTAATGTTTTTCCTTACAACCATTGAGATCAGAATAAAATGAGTTTTTATCTGCACAACCCTCTTTTTTCCTTACAGTTAAAATACTGAACATTTTTTTCTATAAGTTGTGTTGTGTGTGATTCAATGATATTAAACTGAATGTAAAAGAACATTGAAAACATATTTACAGGGTACAGACGAAATGGGTGCATACACCTTTACATACAGGCTTTACAGATTGGTTTTGAAGGCAATAATAAAACTCAACTGAAATTTAGGAATGTGATTATTTTTGTAAGACTTATATAGGAGGTTTCTAAAAGGAGTGAATATATTTGAAGCTCTTCTAGGATATTTTCGATAGGGATGTTTCATTTCATCTCAACAAAAAAATACAAAACAAATTACCACTTAGAACTTATCGCGCAGTAAAAAGCCGCTCTTTTGCATTTTTGGAATTTTGGAAAATACATTAAAATAACATTTTCCTATGTAAGAACGAAATCAAATTTTAAGCTAGTAGTAAATGGAAAACAATCAAGAATTTTTTAACCCGATCACACGCTATCAATTATAGAAAATTGTTTGAAAATGAAGCACCCAAACATGAAATTACAGTTTTTATTAGAACTTTAAATGTGAAAAGACCATGCCATTTTGGTTCAAGATCATCAATGATCGAAGCCCCCAGTCGACGGAAAAGCCCACATTTCCAATCAGATTGAAAGTTATAATTATCATGCTGAGAATGCAAAGATGGGACTGAAAGCCTCATTGAAAAACTCTTGCACCATGTGGAGTGGAAAAATTCAGTTGGTTGGCTATGAATCCCTCTACAGTGTGTGTTCTGCCATATTACTTTCTGTAAGTGGCGTTTTCGATGGGGTTTATCACTGGCTAAAAGTTACCCGAAACTTGGCTTTTATTTTGTTATTTTTCGCTGTTTATTGGCACTAGATATTAACAACCAAATTACTAATCAAACTTAAAAAAAATTAGGGCAGGCTAAGCGCAGAATTATTTTTACATTAAATTTTATCCTGCTGGGCTTAAATTAGTCTGATGGTGAAAGTAGGATTTTTGCATTCATTTTGATTAAAGGATTTTGAAAGTTTCCACCGTTCCCGAAAAACCGCAGACTTCAGATAAGTAATCCGCCCTTTTCTGGTTCTGCATATTTAAGTTTAAAATAAGCCATAAATAATTTAACTTTTACGCCTAGTAGTTTTCACATTAAAAAATTATGGTGAGATGACAACGAAAACACAATTAAAGAGGCAATAATTTGATTAAAGAAAAGAGTTCTGCTTTCCATTGATGAACCATCATCTAAATTCAAATTCACATTTTTCAATCAGTTTGAAATAATGTTTTCACGCCTCTATTTCCCATGGTCATTTATGACTTCGAACTAAGCAAACATTTGAAGAAATAAAGATAAATCCATTGGCCAATGATTATACATGGCAACTGCTTGAATTAAAATCGGAAACATATCCGAATCAATCCCCATTTGACCGAATAGTAAACTGGCAAACATAAGAATAGTAAATTGTGGTGGCTTCATCTGTCCGTAATATTGGTAATGCGGCCATAACATCCAATCAGTGAAATTTATGACCAGCTAAGCTTGTAAATTTCTCAGCTGGAGATCCTCCAAATTTAATTGTGTCAACATGTTTGGAGATTATTTGATTGCTTTTCGGGCATTTCTGGGGTTGTTTTCCTTGTTGTTCGGGCAAACCGCAACGACAGGGATATAAAAATCCCGATTCGAGAGGGAGTCATCTAATAAATTCGCCACTAATGTTGTAATGTGGCTTTGGTGGGTTTGGCGAAACATGTAACTAAGTTGAATAGTTGTTAAATTTAGTAGGCAATTTTGAGTTATTTGCAAAATAAATTTTCGTTGCAAACTTGGGTGAGTAAGATTATTTTCGGGTTAAAAAATTATAATAGAAATTAGCGAATTGCCACCCAACAGCACTGGAACTAGTCCTATAACACTAGTTTGGTCAATAATTTGAAGCAAAGCTGAAACTAATTAAAAATCATGGGCATTAGAAGTAGAAGTAAAAGCACGCTTTCTATATCTTATTCTTAAGTCTCATGTTTTGAGCAAATAACCAATGTTGACACAATGATTGTCCCATAAAACCCCATTTCAAAATCTCACTTTGATTTGAAAATACAGCAGAAAATATCAACTTGAATGAAATAATTAAGTTCCCAGTCGTTCCACCACTGGCACCCTCCTTGCAAAACAGAGCCAGCCCTTCTCAGTGGGGGGAGGGGGGCGGCAGCCGCCCGTTACCCTCGAAAGGAGGCTCATTACAAGGCACCCGCGCCCCCAAACTGGCAGCCATATTGGCCGCCACTTGGATTTTTCCAAATATCTGTACTTTTCCCCTAATTGAAAATGAATGGAGTAAGCGATAGGGTAAACCGATATTTGGAACATACCGCTTCAAAAATTTACTTCTCCACCACATACATGTGATGATCAGAGCGGTCTCCTTACAGTACTTACTTAGTGGTTGAACTATTTTTGGAAAATGGCTGTTTTTACACACTGTTGACACAAACTATTTTTTTGAGAATCTTCCTACATTCTACAATCGGTTTTTTTTATTTTCGCACTAATAAAGTGAGCTTCTGTCATATGGCATCAATTCTGGCAAATGTAGCAAATTTTTACCCACACAAGGCAAAAGTTATTATTGGCTCACCAGGTACTAGTTAGTGTGCAGCAATCTACAGTGTTTTCCAAATTAGTCCCTGCTGCTTGTATAGACAGTATTTTAAATCAGCAAACTTTTGAAAAACTAACAAAGTTTTAATTGTAATTTATGGGTAGTAGGAAAAAAACAGAAGCCGTTTTAGGGCGACAAAAAAACCACATATCAAAATTTGATTAAGATCTCTTTTTTTTGAGATACCAAAGTCTCCATGTACCCTGTAATTTTCAAATTTCCACTTCAGTTCACAATAAAACAACTTTGGCATTGTCGCTCTTTTTTACTTAACTGCTATGAGTATTAATATGCTTATTTTAGTGTGGACAAATTTTTAAATATTTTTTTAAATAATGAATGTTTTCCAAAAGATTGATTTTTCTCCGAGAACCACTAATATTGGTTTAGTTTGGACATTTATAAATAATTTTTATTGCGTCTATAGATAGAATTTATAAAGATAGAACAACAAACTCAGGTCAAAAATTAAATTGCTTGCCAAAATTGACGTAATTTTTAAGGCAACCTATTGGGTTGAGGTCCAAAGTTCTTCAAAAAATTGATTTTTGTCCGAGAATCACTAATATTTGCTTAGCTTGAACTTTTATAAATCTATGTTTATAGATGCAAATTTATACCGAGAAAATAAGAAAATTAGGTCAATAATTAAATTGCTTTGAAGGGAGCTTTACATGGCTATAACACTTTAACGCCACCAATATCTACAATGAATAATATGTGCTAACTTTAACAAAAAAAATCATATTTATTTGTGTATTAAGCAATATTTAAGCACTTGTCTATCAAAAAATCGTATGCAGAATAAAACTCTAAAATATCAGCAACCGTAAACAGTTAGTGCCGCCAAACCTACACTCTACACTTCAGCTTTATAATCACTTTTGTTGACTAAAAAGCCTGTTGAGTTGGGGAAACAGAGAAATAAGTGAATAATAATGTTCAAAGGCTAATGATAATACGTATGATAAACAAAACAATGAAACACAGCATAGCACAATACCAATTTTCACAAAAAAAACCAAAGAAAATAATCAAAACGCACATGAAAAATTATGTTTAAAAATTTTCCATCGTCCACAGTAAAACAGTTATACAAATACCGTTATAATAGATATTATTTAAAATGTCTGTTATTAATTGGGCCAAAAACCGAAGAAAACTGAAATTTGCTGTGCAGAAAAAATAAGCAAAAATCAATGACTTTAATAACGACGCCCTGTAGATTCTGTAAATTGAAAAAACGAACAAAAAAAATTATAAAATCCGAAAGTTAAACCACCGAAGTTTCCGCTAATCATTCTAAAATCCGCACCCATAATATGCAATATAACTTTCAAGTTAGAGATATGTAGCAGAAGATGCTAGCATAGTATTAGCACCAAAAAATTAATATTTATGATATATGCACGAAGCGTCCCATTATCAGTGTATAATGTAGCAAAATTAAACCGGTTAAGGCCCTTTGTCGTCGTGCCAACACTGCTAAATGGCTGCGAAATAATCCAATTATGATAATGTACACGTCTAACTTGTCGCCGAGCTTAAGCACTTATTTCGTTTTCCGCTACATTTACTTTTATAGCGTGATTTGCTGTTTTTTTTCAGTTTTGCATTCGAATAGTAGCGAAAATTTATTGATTTATATGATCTCGATGTTGAATAGCATAATTTAAAATCAATGACCCGATTTACGAAATGCTAAGTAAGTTCGCGTAAAAAAATCTGAAAAACACTGAAAATGCGAAAAAACTAATTGTTGAGCATGAAAAAGTCCAAAAACTCCATTTGATTTTCAATTTCCATGAGTTTGGAAAAGACTCGGCCTTAATTGATGATTTGATTCGCAAGAAAAAGACAAGGAAACTTTCAGTATCATGAAGCCTTGACGATGGAGACAAGGGCAGAATTCGAAAGGTGCTAGTCTCAGGCTCTCCTAGTACCGGTTTCGAGCCTATTCGCTCTCATCAGCAGGATTGAGCCTGAAGATAACACTCCCGAAACCTGTACCTCTAATTCTCCCGATGTATTTTATATCTGACTTAATAAGGAACGCGTATAGGGAATGCTATTTTCAGTCTAAACCCAGCTGATGAGAGCTAATGGGCTCGAAACTGGGGGTGCCTGAGACCAACACATCTAGTTATTTCATTACAAATGTGATGGGAAATTTTATGTATGGTTTGGGTTCAGCTTTTCGATTATTTCTGTGAATAAAACCTACTGAATATTACCATTGAATAAAACAGGCAAGTGAATGAAAGTGCATTGAAAACTAATATTTAAAAAAATCGGTTTTCCTGAAGAG